ATTTTAATGTAACAACTAAAATATTCAAAAGATTAAATGACAAGATAAAAAATTACCATGAAACTGGATGCTAAAAATAAAAGAATCAGCAGGAAATTCTAGAAATAAAAAAAATAGAAAACCAGAAATTACTATTTCAGAAGTAGATGGGTTCAGAAGCACCTTTCTATTTACTGAATGGGATGCTGCCTGATTCATGAATTATTGAATAAAGCCAATTAGATATTTTTTAAAAAGTAGTTGGTTTCCAGAATACATCTGATGCAACAGAAGAGACAATTATTGAACTGGAACATTCTCAGAAGAAAATATACAGGCTGAGATCAAAGAGATTAGAAAAACAGAAACAAGCATAAGAACAAATAGGGCAAGATTTTTAAAAATCTAACTACTTATAACAGAAGTTACTTTAGGAAAGAAAAGAGTGAGATAGAACAGAATTGTTGGAGGTACAGTACAGAATTTTCCCAAACGAATGAAAAACATCAAGCCACAGATATAAGAAGCACTACCAAATCCCAGCAATATAAGAGGAAAAGAAAATCCTAGGTACATTGTAGAAAAACTTACAGAAAAAGAATACTTACCTTTAAAACAACAACAAAAAGATTGGTAGTTCATTAACAACAGAAAAAATAAAAGACAGAAAACTCTGGACTAAATTTCCAATGAGGACATTGGAATCAAAACTATAGGCAACATTTCTAGCACAGTGATTGTAAAATTAATAAGATGTACATTTAGTTTTCTATTACTGCTGTAACAAATTGTCACCAATGTAGCCATTTAAAATAACATGAATAATACTCATTTGTTACTACATAGTTCTTCAAAATATATGAGTATATATTTAAATGTTGTACTCTAAATAACATAACTCAATCATAAAAATGTAAAACAACCATATACAAGTAGACAAAATATGAATAGGCAATTCACAGAAGAAAACAGAATTACTAATAAGATTATTCATCAGCACTATAATTTTTAAAAAATTAAAATAACAATGAGATAAAATTCGGTGCCCATGGTACTGAAAGCATTAAGAAATCTGAAATTTTCAAGTGTTGTGAAAGATGTGGGGAACAAGAAGAGGGGACAGCACAAGTGCAGGCAGTGGGTAAAACATGCAGTAGGATGAATTATCACAGTCTTACGAGAATTTCTTTGTGGCTACAGTTTAAGCAAAAGTAGGAAGTAGGAAAAAAATTATTAAAGAAACTAACAGGTCATGTAAGCCCTTGTTTCCACGTTGTGAAACTGGTATTTTGTCTGGAAGAAAATGGTCAGGCATTGAAGGATCTATTATTGTACAAAGATGGCTCTGGAAGGAAAATGGAGAATGGTTAGAAGGGACAAGATGGGAGAAACCAGTTAGAACACTGTTATAGGGTCACTGACAGGTGATGAATGCCTAAGGAAGACAGTAACAGTTGGGATGGAGCAAAGGAAATACATATAGAAGATACTGAAGTATATATATAGGTTAATATCCCTGCTGAACATAGACACAAAAATCCTCAAAAATAATAGTAATAGCAAACCAAATTCAGCAATACATTAAAAAGATCATATACCATGATCAAGTAGGATTCAGTCCTGAGATGCAAGGGTGGTTCAATATCCACAAATCAATTAACATGATATACCACATTAACAAAATGAAGGATAAAAAACATATGATCATATAAATAGATGCACAAAAAGCATTTGACAAAATCTAGCACCTATTTATCATATAAACTCTCAGCAAAGTGGGAATAGAGGGATATACCTCAATGTAATAAAGGCCATATATGACAAACCCATAGCTAACATCATACTCAATGAGGAGAAACTAAAAGCATTTCCCTTAAGATTGGAAACAAGACAAGGATGTCCACTTTCACCATTCTTACTCAGCATAGTACTAAAAGTCCTAGCCACATAAATCAGACAAGAAGAAGAAATAAAAGGCATCCAAATTGAAAACGAAGTTAAGTTGTCATTATTACAGATTATTTAATACTGTATATAGAGAACCCTGAAGATTCCACCAAAATACTACTAGAACTGATAAATGAATTCACTATAGTAGCAGAATACAAAATAAATATTCAGAAATTGGTCACATTTTTATACATCAATAATGAGCTATCAGAAAGAGAAACTAAGGCAACAATCTCATACAATTGCATCAAAAAAACACATAAGAATAAATTTGACCAAGGAGGTATAAGACCTATATTTGAATAATTATAAGATATTGAAGAAGTTGAAGAAGATACAAATAAATGGAAGCATATACCATGCTCATGGAAAGGAAAAATTAACATTACTAAAATGTCCATACTACCCAAAGCAATCTATAGATTCAATGCAATTCCTGTCAAGATACCAATGGCATATTTCACAGAACTAGAACAAATAATCCAAAAATTTATATGGACACACAAAAGACCTTGAATAGCCAAAGCAGACTTGAGAAAGAAGAATGTTGGAGATACCATGCTACCTGATATCAACCTATACTACAAAGCTACAGTAATCAAAATAGCACGATATAGGAACTAAATAGAGAGCCCAGAAATAAATGCACATCTATATGGTCAGTTAACATATGACAAAGGAGGCAAGAACATACAGTGGGGTAAAGACAGTTTATTTAGTAAATGGTGTTGGGAAAATTGGACAGATACATGCAAAGAAAAATGAAACTAGACCAACTTCTTACACCATATACAAAAATAAACTCGAAATGGATTATAGATCTATATGTAAGACTTGAAAATATAAAACTCCTAGAAGAAAACATAGGCAATAAAATCTTACATTTCTCTTAGCAACATTTTTTTTTCTAATACATCTCTTCGAGCAAGGGAAGCAAAAGAAAAAATGAACCAATGGGACTACATCAAATAAAAAAGTGTAGTACAGCAAAGGAAACCATTAACAAAACAAAAAAGAACCTACTAAATAGAACATGTTCATCAGTGATACATTCAATAAGAGGCTAATATCCAAAATTTATAAAGAACTCATTCTACTCAACACCAGAAAAACAAACAATCCAATTAAAAAATGGGCAAAGGATTTGAACATACATTTCTTCAAAGAGGATATACAGATGGCCAATAGACATATGAAAAGATACTCAACGTCACTAATCATCAGAGAAATGCACATTAAAACCACAATGAGACATTACTCTCACACCTGTCAGAATGGCCATCATCAATGCATCAATGCTGGCGAGGATATGCAGAAAAGCAAACCCTCTTGCCCTGTTTGTGGGAATGCAGATTGGCGCAGCCACTGTGGAAAGCAGTATGACGTTGCCTCAAGAAATTAAAAATGGAACTGCCTTATAACCCATCAATTCCACTTCTGGGTATATGTTCAAAGAAACACAAAACAGCCCTGGCCGATTTGGCTCAGCAGTTAGAGCGTCGACCTGCAGTCCAAAGAGACCCGGGTTTGGTTCCCACTAAGGGCATGTCCCCGGCTCTGGTTGGGTCGTGTGGGTGGCAGCTGCTCAATGTGTCCCTTTCACGTCGATGTTTCTCTCTCTCTCTCTCCTGCTCTGTCTGAATAAAAAATGGAAAAATGTTCTCGGGCAAGGATAAAAAAAAAAGAAACACAAAACATTAATTTTAAAGAATATATGCACCCTTATGTTCATTACAGTGTTATTTACAATAGCCTGGATACGAAAGTAACCCAAGTGCCCATCAATAGACATGTAGATAAAATGTTGTGGTACATATATACAATAGACTAAAACCATGTACTTCACTTGTATGTGGAATCTAAAGAGCAAAATAAACAAAATAAAAACATTGATTCTGAGATACAGAGATCAGACTGATGGTTGCAGAGCAGAGGGAGTTTAGGGGAGCTGGGTGAAAAGGTGAAATGAGGAAGAAGTACAAACCAGTAGTCATGGGGATGTAAAGGACAGCATAGGGAAGACAGTGATATTATAATAACTGTGTACAGTGCCAGGTGGGCACTTGAAATATTAGGAGGGCCACTTTGTAAAGTATATGATTGTCTAACCAATATGCTGTACACCTGAAACTAATACAATATAATACTGAATGTAAACTGTAATTGAAAAAATTATATAGCTATAATCTTTAAAAAATGCCTGGCACATAATAAGTTTTGGTTGTTATAATTGTTAGGGCTATATTTCTTTCTTTTTTATTTTCCTCACCTGAGGACATCTTTGCATTTATCTTCAGATAAAGTGGAAAGGGGGGGAAGAAACATCGATGTGAAAGAGACACATCGAGTGGGTGCCCCCTACATGACCCCAACTGGGACTGGGGACAAACTACAACGGAGGTGTGTGCCCTTAGTGGGAACTGAACCCGGGTTTCTCTGGTCTGTGGACCAACGTTCCAACCACTGAGCCAGATTGGCCAGGGCTATATTTCATTTTTAAAATGATGTCTCTAATCCATCAAAGTGATTGTGACCCACACTCAGAAAAATGCTAGTATTTAAATATTTAGCCTGGTCCCTGTTACATATTAAGCTCTTAAAATGTTAGTAGGAAAAATTACCATCTTATCTTTGTGTCATGTTTTGTTTGCTGAATTCTTTTAAGTACATAGTTGCCAGTCATCTCCATAGTAACCTTATCAGAAATAAACTAATTTAACTTTCTCTTAATCTGTTTGAGTTTCATGTCTCAGTGGTTTTACGAACAGTAGGATTGAAATAATGATCACCGCATCTTCCTATGGCATTTATACCTTGACACCTAAAGCACTTTTTAAGTTTTCTTTAATTATTTTATGTGCAACAGATGATTTTATTGCACAGATAAACAAACAGAATTAACAGATCAAGGCAGTTACCTTGGATTCCAAAAACACTATCTCCACATAGAATGTGTCCAATAGAGTAGACAGTTTAGAAACAACTTCCAAAGCATATTTATTATTCAGTTCTTAATGTGAGCTAAAGATATGCTTATCTGAAGGCACCTTATGTTCTTTATATTTTTCTAGTGCTATTGGAGACATTCAAATAGCTGACGTGAAGGATTTATTTGTGAATCTCATTAACTCTTCTCTTCACAAAGAACTGGAGATTGGAAATCATATTCTCCAGCAAAACATGAATGGACAAACAGTCTCTCGATACCGATTCCCTCCAAATATCACAATGCAAGCCAACTGCACAGTAACAGTGAGTATAAGATGTCAATACTATGAACCGAAATTGTACAGGAAAATCTCAGCTACCTGGGTCAGACTGCAGCTCAGTGCTACTAGTTTCTTCATCACCCGAGCTCTGTGTAAAATGTGGTCTTGTTACTATGGCTAATTGAGCCCTGTTTTCTGTCTCTGTGGGTAAGTTAATACAAATCATTACAAGTCCATAGGTTTCTTCAATTTGTTGTACAATACCTCTTGTTTTTATGATTTAACTATTAAAATAAAATAGTTCCTAAAGTTAAGCAAACATAATCCCTAAGAGAAAAGAGATTGTTTGCCTAGAGAATAGATAGTTTGATACTGGAGGGTTTTTCCTTTCTGTGCTTTCTTTTAAACCACATCAAGTATTATACAGCTTGACATTTTATATTATATAGTCATTATATTTTAAAACCTCATTTGTTGGGAAAGATAATGTTGCAACCATCCTCTGACATTTACAAAACTATTAAACTCCAACGACATCCTTTGTTAACAAACTATTTTTCTACAGGTCTGGGCAGCAGCATCTAAAGCAAAGCATCAGCCACCGTCAGATTTTCTTTGGAAGGAAGAAAACAAGTTTAGTACAAACCCAAACTGTACAACAATCCTGTGCAAACCTAATGGTGAGGTCAGTATCTGGTTTTTCACAATCGCTTTTAAATGAATAGTCTCATGTTCTCCTTCTACCCTTTGCTTGTGCAATTATTTTTCCATCCCTAAAATCTTGGATGAACCATCACTGACTGTCATAACAAATCAGCAAATCAACAGCACCCTCTTCCCAGGGACAAAGTAGCATAGAGATGCTTACAATTTGGCAAAAATAGTTTTGATATTTCAAATATGAAGCTACTTCAAATTTCAGAATTGAGGATGGATATTTTGTGTGGTATTTAGCCCAAAGAGCAGGAGGAAACTCTGTACAGGCCCTTTCTATTCATTTATGTATTTTTCAAATGTTTGTGGAGATTCTTCTCTATTCTCAGGGTTGTAATAAGTGTCAGGAGTATAATATAGGATATCTGCTCTTGACAACTAATATTCTATGAAAGAAACTGAACTCTAATTTGTCTGATGATATTAATTCACTATAAAATTGTGGGTACTAGTAATAACTTAGTAACTAATTCTCAATATTTGACAATTTTATATTTTCACTTCACCTTTTCCTTGGTATAATATTAGCATAAACATAGATCCAAAGACAAACCAGTAAAGTAAGGTGTGTCTTTGGGTCTATATTTATGCTGAGATACCTTACAGTAAAGTAAGGTATCCTTTTTTACAACAAAAAAGTTACCCCTCTTACAAAACTATTCTTTAGATTTTTCTTAAATACCTGCCTTTTTTTTTTTTTTTTTTTTTTTTTTTTTTAGCACCAGTCTAATTTACATCATACAACTACTAATCCACACAATATGTTGATCAAAATCTATTTCTGAGTTTCTTCTCGCTAAGTTATACCTGATGATATAGACTTGCTAATTTATCACGAGCCATTTAAAGTCTTTCTGTGAGAACAAGCAGTTATTAGATGGAGAGAACAATCACTAGGTATAATTTTGCAGCCTTCATTCACTTAACTGTTACATATTTTTGTGGACTCAAACTGAATTTTGTAATACTTTCAATAATTTTTATTGAGAGTGAAAAATAAAGCTATGCAATCTAAATTATTTACTTGGTCTCATAATAAATTATTAGCAAAACCCAGATAAGGAATAAGGCATTCTTGTTTCAGAACTTCATCACATGTATGCACCCATTTATCTACTCTGCAAACAACTTTGGGGTTTCTACCTTGTACGCACACTGTTCCAGGCACCAAATGTGGAACCAGACAGATCAGTTCCCTCGGCTCTTAAATTTCACATTTTGTTTGGTAAATTGTCATTCCCTGCAGCTGAATTAGACTTCAAATTTAGATTAGCCCTTTTCCTGAGCCATTTAAACTACTTTTCTCACATGGAATCAGACCATTTCTTCAGGGTGATGTGAACACAAATAATTTTGTTTGCTAGTGGAAGAGTGAATCTGATTCATACAGGAAATATTTGCATATATTTAATATCTGCCAAGCATTGTGCTAGGTGCTGGGGAAAAAAGAGCTTAACTATTGCATAACTACTCCTGACCCAGAAAAATCAGAGTCTGGCGGTAGACACTGAGAGATAATGACACGTAACTGCCATACAGTGGCACAGTGCTTTAATAGATGTGCATAGAGTGTAGTGGCCCACGTTAGAGATAACAGTTCTGTGCAGGGAAGGGTGAAGGAAAGCATTAGAGGTGGCGAAATGACATGCTCTGAGTACGCAGGAGAGGGCGTCCACCCAGCTGACCTGAACCGCAGTGGGTGTGTCCCCTTCCTCCTCCCTGACTGACCCCTCCCCAAGCTCTTCCTGCGCTCCTCTCAGCCACACGGGCCTTCTTCTACTTTCCGGTACGAAGCTACAAGACCTGTGCACATGCTCTTGCCTCTACGCGGACTCTCTTTTCTCCCCTTTGTACCTTAATTCCTCCTCATCCACAAACCTCTGCTCAAGCCTTTTTTTCTTTTTTCCTTTATTGATTTTTAGAGAGAGGAAGGGAGAGGGAGAGAGAGGTAGAAACATCGATGAGAGAGAACATCGATTGGCTGCCTCCTGCATGCCCGCACTGGGGATCAGGCCCACATCCTGGGCATGTGCCCTGACCAGGAATCTAACTGGCGACCTCTTGGTGCATGGGTCGATGCTCAACCACTGAGCTACACCCACGGGCAAGCCTCCTTTTTTAAATTGAGGTCCTATTGGAATCCCACCCTGTGGTAAAGCAATCAGCATTATTTAATTCAAATAGAAAATATTTCCATTCAATACAAAAATGTGACTTGATGTTAACCTGAAACCCTAATGTAAGCCCGAGTTCTCCCTCACTCCTCTTTTGAACAACAAATCGATTTCTCCTCTCATCTCAGTGATGCTGACCTCTCTGTCTGCAGTCATCAGACGGCTTGCTACATTCCAACAGACATGCTAAAACACAGGAAACCCAAGGCTTTATCATGACTCTGGAATTGCTTGCTAGTTATATAACTTGTGTAAAGAAAATAATCCACATCTCAGAAAAAGTTATAGGGCCTGTAATCTTCTGCCTAAAACAAGAGTCAGTGATACAAATTAGAACAGGCTCTGTTTCTGGACTTGAGCAAAAATGTTATATTGTTGGTCATGGGTCATTAAAAAAGGAAACCTAAAGTAAAGTGTGACATATCACTAATGTGTCCATGGTGAATATTCAATATAGCAACAACTCATGAGGTCAATTTAGTCCTGCTCTACCGTGAGTTATCTATGTAATCTTCATTCTGTTTTCCAATATATAACATAAGGCTTTACAATAGAATCACTAACAGTCTATGAATCTACAGATTTTTTAAAAGGGTTAGATTTTTTTTTCACCATTTACATTGTCCTATTGTATTTGTAGCCTCTATATTATATGGCAAAAAAAATTAATAGGCATCTTATTCAATTCCTGGGAACTTCCTGATCCATTCTTTTGCATTAAAGATTCACATATGGAGAGACGGCTGCTATGCTGTAGGACTCACTGAAGGGCTGCCTATTTGTGCATTATCTCGTTTTATTCTCAGATTGTTTAAGTATATTTACAAAGAATGATAATGGAGCTTAGAAATGGCTTGCCCAAGGTGACATGATTGGTAAAATAGCAGAACTAAATAAAATAAAGCCAGACATTCTAACTCCAAGAATTGTTCTCTTGTACTAAATATAGCCTACAAGGTTCATATGGCTAACATTCCAGAATTATAATTAAAACCATATAATTTTATTTTATCACATTATCATTGTTATCAAATTTTTTAAGTCCCTATAATATAGAGAGAAATAAGATATTACTCTTGTCTAGGAAAATCTTACAATTTAACTGAAGGATATTGCACACAAAAAAAGAAATCAACATATTTTCAACAAAAATGTCTGTTTGAGCTGCTAACAGAGGAGAATTCCTAGTTGATAACCTGAAGCAAAAGTGGAGTTTTTCTGTTGTGATCCATGAATTGAACTTTTTAAAATAGATTTCATCTTTCTCTTTCTCTGCCGTAGGCCTAGCCTAGCTGAGCTTGCATTGCCTTTATGTCTAGTTAATTTGTCAGTCTAATCAGAGTAATCCAATCAATCTAAACAGTTTTTCAATGATAACAGCATAAACCCAAAACTTCTAATTTTATAAACTAAAAACAAATTACAAGAACAAGTAGAATATTAGATCACACGTGGGTGCTTAATTTTCTCATGTCAAACAAAGACATAATTGTTAGTCCCTACACATGATTTTCCTGAATAATTTTTGCACATGTATGTTGTACACATGCCATATATTTGAGAAAAGAAAACAAACTCCAGCTTTAGTGGTCATGGGTCTCCTTAGGAGTCCCATTTAGGATCTAACCCAGAGAATGTGGTCTCCTCTCTGTGTCTCTGACTCTGGTTCTACTTCCTATTTTCCCATCTCAAATAAGATATATAAGACACACACACATGCACATATATGCATATATATAGTATCTTAAATATTTAACATTTAAAACATTTTTTAATCCTCACTCGAGGGCATTTTTCCACTGATATTTTTTAAATAGAGTGGGAGGGAAAGAGGGAGAAACATTGATGTGAGAGAGACACATTGATTGGTTGCCTCCCACACGACCCCCTCAGAGATCAAACCCACAACCAAGGTACGTGCCTTTGACTGGGAATCAAACCCTCGACTCTTTAGTCTGTGGACCAACACTGTAACTGTTGAGCCAAACTGGCCAAGGCACATTTTAACTTATTAATATTATAACTACTTTTTGCACAGTTCTTTATAGTTATGAAATTTAGTAGCTTAACTGAATCTCAGAACACCTTCATATAGCAATTCCCCACTCCCAGCCTCCTTATTTTGTGTCTGAGGATTCAGATACATTATAAGTTACTAACCTGACTGAGGTTATGCAGCTTGTGATTTTCAGAATCAGAAACTAAGGCCAGGATGTATTACTACATTCTTATGGTGTTTCACTTATCCATACACAATAGGTAAAGTGACGTCATACAGTTTGACTTTGAAGTTTTATTGCAATAAGCCCACAATGTTCTTTTAAAATATAACTCCCATTGTATTTGATATTAATGAATCATTTTTGTTAGGCCATTGCCTGGTACACTCCTATTCACTGGAAGCAAGCCTGGGAGAAATTAGACACTGACATTGAATTGGAGAGATGCTCAATAGTAAGTCCAACATCTCAAAAGCATATATTTCGTTGGCCAAAAGCTACAACTACAAGCAAAGAAAAACATAATCAATCTGTGGAAGATACCTCACGCTTTCAGATGGAACCAGTTCTAGCTTTTCTTAAGAGGTAAAAGTTATTCGTTTTGCTCTGTTTTGTTTTGTTTAATTGAGCCCTTCCCATAATGGTAACTGAACAGGCAGGAATGACTGGGTGACAAGTAAATTTATGATGAATAGGTAAATCAGTAATGTCCAAAAATATCTGTTTTAAATAAGACTATAAAACCCATAATAATTTTAAGACATAAAAACACAGAGCAAGCAGGGATATATGCATGGGACAATAAGGCTGGCGATTTCTACTAAGCATTGGAGACCCTACCCCCGGCCATTTCACGTCTCGATGGCGCTGCTGTTAAAGGCAAGGCTGTGAAGAGGTGAAGAGATGAAGTCTGCACCACATCTTTAGCAGTCCTGAGGTAAAGGGAGATGTGCAACATCTAAGAATTTTATCTTAGGTCAAGAGCTGGCTGTGACTGAAGGTGCAGAATTTGTTTTTCATTTGTAGGCAAACGCTTCTGATGTTGTGATAAAAGTGCTGCCCATGAGGTCTAGAAAATCCATATTGTCTGGTCTTAAAATATGCTCTCTCTTTTAATTGAGCCTTCATTACTAATGCCTCTGCAAAAAGAAAAAAAAAGCCTTTTGAGTTCAATTCGGGCTTAATTTTTCTTTTACAGAGAAAAAGAAGTCCCACCATCTCTTTTCCCCAATCACAGCCCTTGGTGCCACAGTCCCAATGTTCCTGCACATCCCTACTGTCCTCTGATTGAACCTCACATTACCAGCTTGGCTGAATGCACCTTGAAAAGCCAGCCCAGTCTTCAACCAGCCAGGTCGGATCCAGCTCTGGTAAGTCAAATGCATACTTATTCCGGCTGAGAGCAAGGATTGTATGTGTGTGTAACTGGTGAAAAGGGGGTAAGTGGTAAAATATGCTAAGTATTAAAAATTACTCATATCTTCAAAAAAAGCTGGCTCCTAAAGGAAGTATTGGAAACCATTCACTTACATTTTCTATAGCACAGTATCTATGCTGTTCTTGATAAATACTGTTCAATGAATCAAGGAATCAAAAGAACAGCAAAATAGCATGGCCAACAAAAATTCAAAGTTCTTGAAGTTTGGTCAAAAAGACATTTTGTTTTTTATTAGGCAGGATAAACTGGTTCTACAAGTTATTGTATGCTAAAAAAAAAAAAAAAAAAAAAATTCATCCTTTCCAAACACATTCTAATATTAATCCCAAATTCTTATTTTTTCCCCAACCAGAAGTTTTTTATTTAAGTTCTCTCAATAAAGCTTATAGAGCTGGTGTTATTAACCCAGAATCTGTGCATGGATTTCAGGAAGTCCATGAATCTTCTAAATTTCACACACACAAAAAAATGCATACTTGTGTCATGTTTTCTGGGGAGAGAGTCCATGAGGTTCATCACCTGTCCCCAAATGTTTAAGAACTATTGAGAAAAACACAGTGCCGGACCCTAAGCTGTTTCATACAGAAGCCATGTCCTGGTGAAGTTATAATGATTTGAAAACTTGTATTTAGCAGCGGGATGTTTTGTTAATGAAACCTTGGGCGGAGTCCCAGCGTATGAAAAGAATACAAGCAGACCTGCCCAAGTGGAAGTAGAAGCAGAGATTCCCATTATACCCTTCTTCTTCTTCTTCTTCTCCCCTGTGATCTTTGAGGCTCCTCCCTGGAAACATGGGATTCTATAAACAATTGTATGAAAACCATGTTAATATGCTAATACATCATCGGGAAATAACACCACAAAATAATACCTTTCAGAAGTGGGATGATAGAAATTTCATAAATTTCTAAATACATTTCATAAAATTAAGTACCCTATGTCTTTGTGACTGAATTTCTTCATTTGTAAAGTAAGAGATTTGGGTCTGAAATTTAAAGAGCTCTTTCAGCAATGTTTTATATACATATTATATACATAAATAATATATATTACTTTGTACACACATACATACCTTTACTACACTATGACTTAGAGTTAACACTCTCAAGAAGTACATTAATTTATGTTTTTCTCCAATTAATTATAGCCTTCACTATTTTACTCATTCTGGACAACTCGTTTTCTAAAGAATTTTGACCTCACATTTTCTTTTCTAATTACCATTTACATTCAATATTATTTTGTATTCAGATTTTCTTGATTTACCTTTCTATAGTGGTGGCAACTCACCTTGATTACTTAATAATTTTTGCTATTCAACACAAGACATTGCATTGTATGAGTATATTCTACAACAGTAATCCAAAAAGATAGTTGCTTTGATGCTTTCAAGGCCTCTGTTCATCATTTTATACCTTTAAAATTTTTTATTTATTAAATTTTCAATGTGAATAGATATACATCATAAGTGTAAGAACCTTTCTTTGATTTCAACTGTGAAAGATGGATACAAAGAGGCAGATGTTATGAATAATCCTTATAGCAATCCCTGCATCATCAGTTCATTTCTCTGAAAGAATATGTAACATGATCTTTCAGGGGAAAGATACCTAGTTTGTTAATTATCTAATCTCTTTTTAATTTGCCTACCATTCACCTGTTTGCTATCATTAGCACACTTTTCAATAATTGACAAAGAAAAAAGATATCAAACAAAAATCTAGCCATTTTATTCATAGGTTCTTCAACCCTGCTCCTTTCTCCCTACACTAATAAGGAGGCTAGTTTGCTGAGTTACAGAAGAAAGAATCTTAGTTTCATGTGACTCTTCCACCTGGGAATCATTGCCCTGTGTTTAAGTGTGCCTCTCAACTATATTAGACAGGAGCCTAGAGGCTTCACAGTAAAGATAGTTTTAAAGAAACATCTACACATCATAGGCCTAATTTTTACCAACCAAACTTGTGTTTTTAAACATGTTAAAATACAGAAAGCATAGAGGAAGTCTGATATAAAATTGGAATGAGTCATTCTGGTCCTCATTTTTGTATTTTAATCATCCATATATGGATCAATGAAATATTTATAGTAAAATCTATGTGTTTTTAATCACATAAATGGCAATAAATACAGTGCATGACTGTATTTAATGTGTTTGATGAAGGACAGGCAGAAAAGGAGACACTGGAGGTTTTTAAGCAGACATCTCATAGAGTTAGATCTGTATTACAAAGAGAATTTTGAAGCAGTGTTGAAAAGAAAGTGAAGTGGGGAGTATTCCAAAATCCAGGAGGAAGGAAAGAAGGAGGGGAACCCAGGAACAGAAAGAAAAGGAGAGGAAGAGCAAAGCAGGTTAGGAAGAGAGACGGGGACAAGCTTCTTCTGTAGAGTTGTAATCTGAGTCCCAAAGGACAGGGTAGAGAGAGATTGGGGCAGAAGTAATATTTAAATAAATCATGCAAAAATTCTCAAAAATTGATGAAGGACATCAAGCCATAGAGTCAAGAAAAATAAATCTCAGCCATAATACTTAAAGAAAACCACACTAATGTATATTATAATAAAACTTCAGAAAACCAAATAATGGAAGTCAGAAGACAATGGAATGATATCTCCCATGCGCTAATGTGCTGAAAGAACTACTATTCTAGAGTTCTGCACCAAGAAAAAATATACTTCAAAAAGTGAAGGTGAAATAAAGACACTTTCAGGCAAATAAAAACTAAGAGAATTCACCAACATTAAAGTCACGCTAAGGAAATATTTCAAGTAGACGGAAAATGATCAAGAAGGATGCTCAGACATTTTGGAAGACGTGAGGAAAGATGTGGAGTCAAAGCATGGATAAACAGAAATGAGTATCTAGTGCACAAAATAATACTGATATTCACTTGCAGGATTTAATTTTTTTTTTTTTTGTTCAGATAGAGCGGGAGGGAGAGAGAGGAAGAGAGAGAGAGAGAAACATCGATGTGAAGGGACACATCGAGTGGCTGCCACCCGCACGACCAACCAGGGCCGGGGACAAACTGCAACCGAGGTACGTGCCCTTAGTGGGAACCAAACCCGGGTCTCTCTGGACCGCAGGCCGACGCTCCAACCGCTGAGCCAAACCGGCCAGGGCAGGATTTAAAATTTATATAGGATTTAAGTTCGTGACAACATATCAGTTTCCTAGGATGACTGTGACAAAGTACCACAAACGTGGTGGCTTAAAATAAGGGAAATGTATTCTCTCACAGTTCTGGACCCTGGAAGTCTGAAATGAAGGTGTCAGCAGGGCCACCCTCTCTCTGAAGGCTCTAGAGCAGCGGTTCTCAACCTTCCTAACGCCCTGGCCCTTTAATACAGTTCCTCAAGTTGTGGTGACCCCCAACCATAAAATTAAAGGGGTCGCAACCCACAGGTTGAGGACCGCTGCTCTAGAAGATTATCCTTTCTTGCCTCTTCCCAGTCTCTGGTTGTGGCGGGCATTCCTTGGTGTTCCTTAGTTTGTAGATGCATCACTGTGATCTCACCTTCGTCTTCTTCACATGGCCTTCTCTCCTGTGTATGTGTCCATATTTCCCTCTTTTCATAAGAACACCATTCAGTAGATTAGGAACCACCCGAATTTAGTATGATCTCATCTTAACTTGATTACATTAGCAAATATCCAATTTCCAAATAAGGTCACATTCACTGATTCAAAGAGTTAGGACTGCAAGATATATTTTGGGTGGACACAGTTTAACCCATAACAACAGCAAGTTTGGAGGGGAGTAAATGGCATTAAAATACTCTGAATTTCCCAACTTTTCCAGTAAGCTGTAAAAGTAACTATTTATATTAGACTTCAGTAAATCAAGGATATGCATGTCAAAATCTAAGACAGACACTAAAAGAATAGCATACAATTGTCATGTTCATTACACGTATCATACTTTCATTATCATTCAGTAAAAAATATATTCTAATTTCCAATATGATGATCTTTTATACGTGGGTTTTTTGGGAATAGTATATCACAAAAACATGGTTTTATTTCAGAAATTCAAAGTTGGTTTAAGGTTTGAAAATTAATCAATTAAACATCATCTTAACAGAATAAAAAAGAAAATTGTATAACTGTCTCAATAGATCTAGAAAAAGTTTTTGGTAAAATTTAATACCCACCCATAAGGAAAGAACCTTAAAAAATTAGTATTTGAAAGAATTCCCTTGATCTGACAAATGGTATCTACAAATATCCTAAAGCAAACTATTATACTTAATGGCAATGTAATGAACATTTTCCCTTGCGATCCAGATCAAGACAACAATTTTCCTTATGCTGTCTTCCGTTCAGCAGTATACTAGAAGTCTGAGTGAAATAAGGCAAGAAAAATGAATATATGAATATCGCATTACCCCATAATCCAGCAATTCCATTCTCTGCAATTACATATGCCTAAAAATATGCACACATGCACACTAAAGACAAATATAATAATGATCATAGCAACTGTATTTATAATGGCCTAAAACTAGAAGCAATCCAATTGTTCATTGACAGTATAATGGATAAATAAATTATGATATATTAATGCAATCCCATAAGCGATGAGAATGAATGAACTACTGCTACATGTAGTAACATCAACGAATCTCACAAGCATAATATTGAGTGAAAGATGGCAAACAAAAAGGATTGCATATTGTATGTTTCCATTTATATAAAACTAAAAAACAAACAAAACCCTGGTGTTCAAGGTCAGAACAGTAGTTATTTCTGGGAGAAGGAAGGAAGTAGCCGTTGGAGGTTACACAAAAACTGCATCTAGAATTACTAACAATGTTTCATTTCTTGATCTGAGTGGTGTTTACATGAATCACTGTTTTCACCGTGCTGTGTAATTATGACTTATGATCTGTTATGCATGTATATTATACTTAAATAAAAGTTTATTTTTA